GCATGTTAGTAATCTGTCATGGCCTAAAGATAACAGTCTCTGGAGCACACATCATACTGTCACGCCAATTAAATCCCTTTTAGCGATCTCTTTTACGCTGTGTTAGCCTCAAAACCATGTAATAAATTCTTTTATTCACAACAGCCCGTGCAAATGCAAGAGATCTGTGAGTATAGAAGACAATGGAAATAGTTTGAAATCTCACGAGTTTTATCTACATTTCTGAATGTCAGGTCACATAGGAGTAGCATACGAGTAGCATCTCGAACGTTTCTCAAGTAACAAAATGGAAAATATACAAATAAAAATATAATTAAGTTACCGAAAAAAGAAACACTTAAAAATTCATCGAAGAATAAGAATATATTACTACATGCCGGTGAGGCCACAGGCAACCCAAGCAGAACATTTGATTCAAATTTTTTCTTTTTTAATAAGATACATTTGACCTGATACATGTGTTGCTGATGTTATTAAACATTGCTGTGTATGACTTTGAAGGGATTTTTTTTAATATCGCCATCAGTCATAAAAGACTACAAGGCTGGTAACAGAGTGTCCACACCACTTGTCTTTGAAGGCGGAAAAAATATATTAAATCCATCTTTTGTCTCCAAAATCCTGTGGATTGTGGTAGTTGTATTGTTTCGTTGTTTCGCATTTGAGTAACACCCTCACTGTACCACTTCAGGCTAATTTAACAATTTGTAATGCAATGTTTATAAAGAAAAGAACCCACTTAAAGTATACTTATCRAAGATTTTTATACATGGGCCAACTTACAAGTCAGAGGAATCCTTCAGTCGACTGTTTCAAATAAATCCTCTTAAACGTGCTTTAACGGATAATATCATATATAATTTTACAAAATAAAAGAGACCTATAAAAAAGTCTCCTTTAAATTGTTATTGATCAACTACTTTTTCTAAGCCRGACCATTGAGTGGGGGAGGGGGGTTCTGATTTCAAATTATTGTTTTTAACACATTATCAACATTTTTCTGCTACTAGTACTGTTTTAAAATATATAACCCTCTGAAATTACATTAAAAWACTCATACATAATTAATGAGCTACTAGGCCAATAGAATGAGCCTATTTGGTCACATGCATGGACCTTTATATCTGATAAAACACTCCTTATTAGTATTCTTTATATAAAGAATACTAATAAGGGTGACCTTTATCAGATATATGACCCTAGCAAAGGTCTCAGGCTTGAAACCTGATCATTGACCAATGCAGGATGTCAACCAATTTCAGTGAACAGCCAAGAGCYGTTCTATTTTACTTTATGCGTATTCAATGTGGGATGACAAGAGTGCTTTGTAAAGTGATTCGCGCATGATCAGTTTGCCCCATTTATCTCTGAACATATTTGTACGGCAATTTCTCCAAGAATTTTAACGGATTTGAGTGTCAAATTAGTGTTGGAGTTTTTTAAGCCGTTTAAAACACTCAAGATCGTGTTTTAAACTATACCTAAATAATCCACCTTTAAGATGTATCATACAGTTAAGTTAACATGTCTAAAGCTCGAAAGGTCACTTRAAGATGGATGCGATCTGCACATGAGCATGCTTGTGATTGCCAGAAATGCATCCCGTGTAAATTGTCAATGATTGTTTGATCAATGTATTCTTTTAAATGGGTAAATTTTAGTTTCAGTTGTGCTTTACTATTAAAGTTGCATACAGAAACTCGCCATGCAAGAATTTTTGATGCCACATGTAATTAATGATAACAATCAATCAAAATTTGAAGTTTGATCCTGTAACCTCCCTCAAGCAGCTTGGTGTTGCTGCTGTTTACCATTCCTACCCCCTACTTCTCTTATCATCTCTTTTACTTATGGACACAATTTTTGGTAATCCCTACCCCTTCTTCACCTCAATTATTTTAGCATTTGTTTTCGCACAGAATCCACACTTCCATAGAATATATTACATAACAATGAGTAGGAGGCAAGAGATATACAGTTAGTAATCAGATAATTTTAAAAATACCTGTGGAAGAATATCTTTGAAATATCTCCCCCCTGCAGCTTTAAACTCGTAGAATTTGTTTTCCGTAGTATAAACAAGACTGTCTTTAAGATAGTACTCGCTGTTTGTTCTGCAATTACAGAAACAAAGTCACCTTTCACAGAACAGATACATTTGTACCTTCCCTTTCTCATCAGTAGAGAAATCAGCCCCACATCTCCCTGATGGACTAGATATGATGTGAATAAGATGTGAATAAGCACAAGTTCTGAACCTAACCCTAACCCACAGTGTTTCCAGAACATTAGAGAACCACAACATAACTTTTATGAGTACAAAAAATATCCATAAACCTTATATTGGAATCATAAAAAAAAATATTTAATAAAAATTACTAAAAGTCAGCAACTTGCTGTGCTTGTTACATTGCACAATAGATTTAGCACTATGGATTGAACAAGATCAAATCCATTCTCACTGATCATATTAATTATTCGTTAATTAATTTTTGAATCTTTGGATTARAAATTCTCCAAAATATCCACCAGTTAAAGGGTTAAGTGACATTAATTACCTGATTTGATCAACAGGAACCTGCATGGGTGGGCTCAACACATATCTTTCAACTTTCAGGTGAGAAGGAGTATCACCATACTTTTTTGACAATATGTCATTTCTCRAATTTTTTTTTACCATGCTTTGGAACTTTTGCCTCAACCAAGAAAGAACATCCAATTTTGGCTTTGGCTAAAAAAATAGAAATTGAACATTGATTCATATAATAAGCAATGACAAATTATTGGACGTGGAAGTTGCTGGAAACCCAAACAATTCCTCTCGAGATATTGCACTATTCACACTATGGAGAGTTTTAGATTCACGTTTACTGCAAACGCCAAACATCAAATTGGCTTTTATGCTTTGTCTCAAAATTTCAAACAAACATAAAAACGTTTAAGGAATAGCCATGCACTTATGCACGAAAAAGTGATCAATTTTAATACACAATCGCGAAAGAATGGAACGTTAATACAGAAAAACAGTGATCACATGATCACTTTTGACGTTTGGCACGTATACAAAACTCTATTATACCTATATGTCTGAACTTCTGCTGCAAAAAAAAACACTTATTGGGAACTTTTTTTAAAGTGCATGAGACACGATTTTTTTTATTCGAAAAATAGAGTCAATAGAACAAGCATAACAAGTTGGCTAATTACCACTTGATGCAGGGCTTCAAATTTTGGAGAAAATCGGAGTTAAAAATCCATTATGCTAATTTGATGACGTCAATGTGGTTGAACAAGTGTTCCTAATATACCCATGTCAAAAGATTGTTTTTGATTACATAACAAATACATGTATCTTCTACAAAACAATAAGGTGACAATAAACAATCGGACAATTTTGTATAATTAATGAGTTCCACTTTGACGTCATCAAATTAGCATAAAATCCATTTTTCTCTGAAATTAGARGCMTKCATCCAGTGGCACTTTACAGAACTATTATTTTCTTCATATTGATTTTATTTTCAAAACAAAAAAAATCATGTCATATGCACTTTAAAATACTTTATAAAATAAACAAGAACCACTTCGTGGAACATACCGTGTCCAGGTTACACTAATATACTTTTACCAGTTCCGCAATCGCTTTGAGAGATTTTGCGCATGATCTTTTCACATCATTTTTTTAAATATTTTTATCATTCCAGCAAAAATTTAGCATTCAGATTGCTTTTGCATTATCCTAACAGAATTTATAAGATGAAAGTTTGCTTTGCATAAAATGATTTTAGTAAAAAAAAGAACAATTATATATTTTAAAATTAAAGAAGGAAAGAAAGAAAAATGTTTAGAAGCTGCTCGAGACGAGYAATTGAACCCGAGATCATCAGTTCAACGCTGMTATTCAAGTATGATCTTGCATGTAAAATATGTAAAATAAATACAGTCAAATATCTACTTACGGACGCTCCCGTAAGCGGACAGTTCTACTAACAAACAGCTTTTAAAAATCCCGTTTTTCCTCCCATACAAACACTGTATTTTATACTTTCTATTAAGCAGACTTTCTCGTAAGTGGACGTGGACACTTTTAGCGATTCCCAATTGACCTTTTCTATTGTTTTAAATATCCCGTAAGAGGAAACTTAAATTCAATAACTTTTATTTGATCTAAAAAYTTTTATTGACTAACTATACATGGATCTGAGGTATGTGTTACGGCCTTCTTTCTTCAGTTTTGTAAAATATGCAAAACAAATATCAACATGAAAAATAAGAATAAGTTAATATTTCAGTAAAAAAAGAAGGAAAGAAAAAATAATTGCTTAGAATTGATCGAGTCCAGAATCTAGCCCGCGATCCTAAGTTCGACGTTATTTGAGTACAATAGTCAGTGTAAATATCTAAATAATGGCTTGAAAATAATTGTTAAACRAATATCTACAGAAAAAAAATAACATGACTGTAACAACTTCATTTCAGTTAATAGAAAGAAAAAATGAGTCGAGAATCAAGGTCACTATCCTATGTTCAACACTATTCAAGTATAATATTCTGACGTGTAAAATCAAAATAATGGCTCGAAAATAATTATCAAACAAAATCTACAGAAAATCAAGATGACTATAACAACTATATTATATTTAAAAAGAAAGAAGAAAAAAAGTGCTCGAGACGAGATTCAAACCCTCAATCCTCTGTTTGATGCCGCTGTTCAAGTTTCATCTTGTTTCTAAAACTTAACAAACGTTGCTCGTAAATGTTGTAGTTTAGGTTCAATATGATTTTGAACCAGTTCAATTTCTTCTGAACTGGTTCAGTTTATTTTGAGCCAGTCCAATATAACTCAATCCAGTACAAATCAGTTTAGGGTTAGGGTTAGGTTTAGGGTTAGGTTTAGGGTTGGGAATAGGGTTGATCCAAAATAAAAATAAAAATTTTCTTCATTAATAAATTACAATTAAGATGAAAACAATTTGCAAACATTACTACCAACAAAATCCTTGATGGTATAATTGGGAGTACTGTAGACTATGAAGCAAGAGTTCAGTGGTTCAAACCCTGATGAAGGTAAGTGTTATTCATAAATTAAAAATATAGAAAMTATCAATATTTCTGTGGGGTATAGGGTAAGATAAAGTAGGAAATAGTAGAAGGTAGAAAATAAGATGATAGATAGGAAATTGGAGAGATTGGGATATAGTTCTTTTTGTTCTTTTAAGAATGCCAAATAAAAAAAAACAAATTAGATTACACTGGTTCAAAAATATATTGAACGTGAACTACAACAGATATTTGAACTGATAACACTTAGAATTTGACATTGGTCTTGAATTTAACATTATAATTTGTTAGTATTTGTTATACCACTATTTCATTTCAAGAGAGGGGAATTGCTCTGTATCCACTAGGGAATACACATTCCAGTGTATGTAATTAAATATGCGAGTATAAATGTTGAATGTAACTCAGGAATAAAGTTCAAGACTCCATGGCTCTGCTCTGTGCTCTGACTTAGTGACTTGATACACTACAGCTACAGTCAAGARAAAATGCTATGGGACTAAAAAGTGGAAAGAACAATATGCACTCTTTCCCTTTCCCCCATATGCAAAGTTGTCATCTTCCCTATTGATAGGAGGGTGAGTGAGGAACTTGACACTCTCAAAGCGTGAAGTCAGGCTAGCTATTTTTGAAAATTGAGAAACCCTGATGAAGATAAGTGTTATTCATTGTAAATTAAATAATAGAAAAGATCAATATTTCTGTGGTGTATAGGGTAAGATAAAATAGGAAATAGTAGAAGTTAGAAAATAAGATGATAGATAGAAAATGGGAGAGAATGAGATGGGATATAGTTCTTTTAAGAATGCCAAAGCAAAAAAAAAAGATTTCTTGTACTGGAAAAATTAGATTAAACTGGTTCAAAAATATATTGAACCTGAACTACAACATAAATATTAATAATAAAAMAAATTGCCTGGACACGGTAATAACCAAAACAACAAGTGAATGTTTAAAAAAATAATAAAATCTATCAACTACAACAAAAGCTTTTTTATCAGCATTAATTCAAGGGTATTTTTCTCAATGAAGTTAAAATCCTACTAAAAAAATTGTTCACAAATTTGTTAGCTTTTCATGTGGTGCACGGTGAACTCATCTCTACTACTAAAATAACTTTAAAATCTATAATTTTCATGTTTTGTCAACTTAAATTTGTGACCAATTGTTATAATCAAGCAGCCAATGGCAGCATAACTCGGAGATTGATACAGAACGATGGATGTACGATGAATCAAATTATAATTGCTTTAACAATTACAATTTAAAGAAAACGATTTATGAAATTTTTTCGTTACAATCCTATTTTTAAACTTTGGCTGTGTTGATAAGCACGGCGAGTGACGGCGAAATAAATCCCAGTCTTAGTCACATTTATATCAAGTTTGGCATTGTGGCCTAGCGGGTTAAAACACAGGCTTAATGATCGAGAGGTCGTGGTTCGAATCCCAAGTGATACAGAGTGTTTTTTTTTTTCTTTTTTTTTGTTCTTTATTATTATTTTTTATTATTATTTATTATTTTTTTTCCAGCAATTCTTTTAAGAATCCTTACTCCGTAA